GCCTAACGAGTATAGCCCCATTCTGCAGACAAGAAAACTGAAGATCAGAAAGAAAAAAAGTATCTTGTTCTATTGACCCAACATGCTCCTTCCCATGCAGGCACAAGTGAGGGGTGATCTCTGGAATTTTATCCTCCTTAGCCCCTGGCAGTCCAGGCACAGCACCCCTCACCAGCTCCTCTGCAGCTGGGACATGCTCCCCCACTTGCTACTCAGTCCCCTGCCTCCAGCTGCTTCATGCTCAGCGTGGGTCAGCTTCCCTGTCGGCTTGCCCATCCACCTCCACAGTGGGGCTCCTGGATGATGTCTCTACAACTGTGCTGGCTCCTGAGGCCCTCCGCTCGCCGTGTGTGCTGAATCCTCCTCTTGAAGCCCCTCCCGTGGAGACAGCCACTGCACTTGCTCTCAGTCCAGCTCTGTGCCTGGTTGTAATGGAGCCTTGATTCCTGATGGGCTGGTCACTTCCCTCCTCACACAGGGAATTCAGCTGCATGCCAGGCCTGACTGGTCCCTCCAAAGCTTCCTGCCGTGAGTCTCCTCAGGACTGTGCCCTCTTCAGAGAGCTCACCTTCCACACCCTGGATTGAACTTTGTGATGGGCACACTCTTTCATCTCACCCCCCCCTCCAGGGAAAGCTAGATTCAGGTCCCCACCACCCTGCAGTCCCCCTGCAAGGCCTGTGCCTACCTCTTGCCATGGCTCTAATAAAGTCACCCCTTGGTGTCTGACAAGGGCTGATGACAGTACCAGCCCCCAGGATCCACAGATGCACAGCTTCTTGTGCAGAGTGCTGTGGAATTTGAATCTAACCCACGCACATCCTCCTGCACATTCATATCTTCCCAATTCCCTATATCTGATACGATGTAAATGCTATGTAAATAAGTGTATTGTTTAGAGAATAATGACAAGGGGGAAAAGGCTCCGTGTTCCGTACAGGTGCAATTCCCCCCCGCCCCCCAGAACATTTTTAATCTGCCTTTGGTTGAATCTGCCGATCCAGAACCTCAGCTACAGACAGCATGGAGGGGTAGGCTCTGACTATGAATGGGTCTCATGTCTGCCCCCAATCCTGTCCCCTCAGTGAGACCCCAGTCTATGTGTCTCACCCGGGCCTAGGAAATAAACCCATCAGCCCACACCTCTTAGCAGTTGGTGACAGGGCCCCCACCCCCAAGGCCATCAGAGTTCTTGGAGCACAGGCACCCCTAACCAGGCCTCCCATTCCTGGATCTGCCCCCTGCAGCAGCGAGGTCACTGTCAATAATGGGATCTGTCTGACTGATATTAATTTATTGACAACCGCGATCACAGTAGAAGTTCTTCTCTCCTCCCTCTCTGCCTCCCTCCCGCCCCAAGAGCCCTGTCCACCCTGGTGAATCTCAGGGACCCTGGAAGTATTCTCATCACCTGGGGAAGAGTTGAGCTCCTCTACCATCTCCCCAGCCCAAAGGGGCCAGCTCACACTCCCCTCTTCTCTTCCTTAGCCTCCTCTGGGCCCCAGCTTTGGCAAAGTGATGGATTCTGAACTAGAAGTTGGCACCATCCACCAGATAATGATTGTTTTTTATCTCCCGTGTTTATGTGGCTGAACAGCGGCTCGTTTTCAACGTGATAGTCGATGCTCAGAAAGACAAAACCGCCTTGGTCACTCCTGGGAGATGGCGTGAAGGTGTGATGGGAAAACAAGGATGTGCGGAGGGCTGCAGAGAGGAGCCTGGTGAGTCCACAGCCCCTGCTCAGGCCCCATGGCAGAGCCCCCAGAGATGGGGCATCCTCTGCTCGACCTGCTTTCTATGAGCCAGCTGTGGCGTGCCCTAGTGGGACACGGGGCAAGTCCTTCCCTCCTGCTCGGGCTGGGGGTTTGCCTTCCAACAGTATGCATCCCATAGTCCAGGACAAGAAGGTCTGATTAGCTAATGGTGAGGGAATGGGAGAAGCCGGCTAGCTCCCTTTGTGGAAGAACTGGCTGAGCAACCCAGACCTGGCAGCCTAGGCAGAGGAGCTGTGCCTATTAACCATGGTGAAATGCTGACACCTGCTGGTCAGTTCTAGAACTCCAGGAGCCAAAGTCTGGGAGAGCTAGAGCTAAGTTGGTTCCTCATCACCAATGGCAAAAGCAAAAAAAAAAAAAAAAAAAAAAGAGCCAAGTGGGGCAGCACAGACCTGTAATTCCAACATGTGACAGGAATATCGTTCTTGGATACACAGTGAGTTTGAGGTCAGATTGGGCTACCGGAGAGTCTCCAAAAATAAAAAGCGATATGAGAGATAAAAATATATAAAATTATGAAAGAATATAAAATAATAACAACAACCGTGATGGTAGACTCGCACTTCCCGCCAGGCTGGGATGCTGTCATTGTTCACTGTTGTTGCTTTGATGATTGTAACGAAGTTAAAGTCTTTCTATTATTAATCTCTCCCCAAGGTTTGCAAAAGGGGTTTTGGAGCTTGGGCATCTGTTAGACGTTCTTCTTCCATAGAAGTGGGACAACTTGCCCAAGGTCAAGCAATTGCTATGTGGAGGAGCCAGGATCCCAGTTCATGATCTCACTGCCTCACTCAAGGGACTATTTCTGAGCCCCACTGTTCCAGGACAAAATGGCACTGCCCCTCGGGATCCTGAGTCCTGGAGGCCCAGAACAGAGCACACAGCTTGTAGAACCAAGCCTTTTCTTCTAAATGGAAAGGTTTCTCCTGGGCCGAAGACTCAAGGTCTGAGTCTGGGACAGTCAAACAGGCTGGGAAAGAGAGCCCTGGGGAGGGGAATCAGCAGCCCGGATTCCAGCCCAGCCTCCATCCCAGTTCCTGCCTGTGACCAAGCACATTTCCCAGTCCTTCCCAATCCTCTCCACTGTAACAGCGAAGAATGGACCCCAACAATGACCCAATGAGACCACTGGGAAAGGCCAGATCCAGAGAGGGTAACCGGCTGCCCAGATACCAAGACAAATGACAGGGCCCAAGACAAGCTTTGAGAAGCTAGGTATCCTAACTGCCCAGCCAGAGCTTCCTACCGTACCCCAGGGCAGCCCCATCTTCCCTGTCTGCTCATGGGCACCCCATGTACCCAGAACTGCCACAACCCGGAGGGTGTGACATGAACCCCGGGTGACAAATGTCCTGCTTCTGGGACAGACACTTCCCGTTTGCCCTGGGACCTGGGACTAGTCTGTCATTTTCTCTCAGAGGGAGGTGGCCTGGGAACCGAGAGGTGAGGGTTCCTGGTTGCTTTATAATCACAGCTCTAGAGACAGTGGGAGTGGTGGATTGATGAGAGGGGGTCACTCAGTGATGTTGCCCCCTGGTGGCCCAGGGCCTCCAGACCCTGCTATCTTCCTACCTTTCCTTGCCTCGGTGCTACTCTGTAAGTGGCAGACCTCCTAAGGCCAGGCAGTGGCTCGGCCACCCTCCGTGACTTTTCCCTGGAGGACTCTGGCTCCCATTCTATCCCTCCTCGGCAGTGGGCAGTGGGGACAGGCCCCAGGACTGGGAACTACTTAGGCCAGCGCTGTTCTCAGAATCTGGGCAACTCTGGAACCTACACTGTATCTCAGTCCCAAAGCATAGGTCCTGGAGAAGGCCAATGGACTTCATAGCAGTAAGCACACAGGTGACCTGCTGGCACTCACTCCTTGGGGACAGTTACTTAGGAAACCCGGCTGCAAGCTTGGGGCTTAGGGAGCATCAGCCAAGTGTGGGGAAATTCTCTCCTCTGCTCTCATGGGAGACTACCAAGGGGGTCAGAGCATGATGGCAGGCCCTTTAGCTTCGCTGAGTACTCTCCCCAGAGGCCTGAGCCCACTCCCCCTCCTCCTTTCTCCTTTTTAGCTCCCCTTTCTTCTGCTTCCCAGGGGCCCCTCATGGGAAGCCTGACTGTTGAGGTCTAAAAAAGCTACTGACCCCACAGGCAGAGGGCCAGGGAAGGACAAGGACTATTGCCGTCCCAGACAGCCCAGCTGGATCTGGTTTAGATACCTTTCACAGCGTGGCATGTGTGGTGTAGTGGCTGTCCCTCCCCTCCCCCATCACCATTTTGCCAGCCTGGGGTGAGAGTAAGGACCATTAGAGCAGAGACACATGATGCTCTGGCCCCACCAGGAGAAAGCGTGTCAAGTTTGTTTGTACTCTCTCTGTTACATCGTGCTTCTGTCTGGTTTGATCACCTCTTCCAGGAAGCCCTCCATGACTGTCCCTTGGGCCTCTCTGGGGTCCAGGGATTTGGGGGGTGTCATTTCCTTCCTCTCCACCCCAAGTCCAAGATGGTGCCATCCTTAGAATGCAGTCTCTGTTGCGACTTTCACCACCCAGGGCCCCACCACGGAGAAAGTCCTTGGATCATGCCTCTGCTCCATCTTTACCACAAAGCTCAAGTCACAAGCTCAAAGCACCTCCTGAAGACTCTAGGGCATGGTGCCCAGAGGATCTGACCACTCTCAGTGGCTCTAGGCTACTCAAGGACTCCCTGGCCTCCGCCTTTTGTGTTCAGGGTTAATGAAAGTGTGCCTCATAAAGCTCCAGGTTTCTGTCACTCAGAAACCATGTCTTCAAGATATAAGAGGAAGTCTGGCTGTGGTGGAGCACGCCTTTAATCCCAGCACGTGGGAGGCAGAGGCAGGCGAATCTCTGTGAGTTCGAGGCCAGCCAGGACTACATAGAGAAACTCTGTCTCCAAATAAAAGAAGTAGGAGGGAGGATGACTGGACACCAGCTCCCTGTGACCCTGAGGGACCACCACCCCATTCAGATCCAGAGAAGTAAAGAGACAAATGGTTTATTCAGGGAGGGGGAAGCCCAAGCCAAAAGTACCCCTCCCCACCTCTGCAAGCTGACCTGTGCAGCCCCATAGGCCCAGAGTTGGGGACAAGCCCCCAAACACCCAATGCTGCTGCTAATTTGGCCCTCTCAAAGCCTAGTGACATGAGACATGGATGGAGCCTGACACCCCTAGGACATGTGGTACCTCACAAAGAACACATTCTAGGCAGCTCACCTACCATCTACTGCTGGGAAGAGACCCAAATTCCATATGAGTGAAAGTCTACGGGCAAATTTTCATGAGTGCATTGTGGCACATCAGGGGAACAGCTCCTCCTAGCCATGGTGGAGAAATATCTAGGCTACGATCCTCTTGCTAGGCAGGAGAGCCCATTCTCTGGCTTTGCAGCCTCAGAGTGGACATGGCAGAGCCTCACAACTGGACCAGGGCAAAGCCAAGATGCTGAGAGCATCCTCTAAGGTGTGGCCAGGCCAGCCAGGCTTTAGTAAATGGGATCCGAGAGGACACACAGGGCCTGTTTCCTCCTGACAGACTCGTGCTGCTGATAAAACGTAAGCCCAAGGGATAGACACAGAGAGGTTGCCTTAACTGGGCACCTACTGTCCACGGTGGAGAAAAATGGTCACCAAGCCTGGACAAGGCAGAGCCTGGGCATTGGAAAGAGACTGGCACCGTGTGGGCCTGGTGGCCAGCTTCAGGAGAGAGTTACAAGAAATGAACCCAACTGTCTCTCACCCTGTGGTTGGTAACTTGGCCTCACACACAGAAATCACAGTGGCCGTATGTCACCAAGCAGAAAAGGAACCCATAGGGGAGCAGAGGAAGCCAACATAACCTGGAGAGGGGGGCTGTCAGAGGCTGTAAGAGGGCAGAGTTGGGTCAGACTCCTGCCCCCCAAGAACGCAGCATCTTGGAAAGCAGGGGCAACGGGAGAACGGGGTTGTGGAGCTCCTCGTTGGACTCAGGGGGCCTCATTGGACCCCATCCCGTTGCCTTTGTTGACGTAGAATGGCCGGTAGTGAGACTGTGAGGGAAACAGGAATGATTAGGGTAGCCAGGTGGTAGCGGAACCCCACAGCCCGCCCAACCCAGACCTCCTGGAACTTACAACCTGCTGTGCCCTGTGGCCTGACCTGCAAGAGCTACCTACCTATCTTGCTTCCAGGAGGTGGCCCCTGACAGCATCAGAACTTCTAGGTCCAAATTCTAACTAGAGTCCATTCCCGCCACTTAGTCTATGACCTTGGATTGCTTCCGCAGCCCACAGTGTCTTCCTAGTGCCGCCGCGCTACCATGTGCATAGCGCTGTGTGTTCTCTGAAACTACGCATCATTGTGCCAAGGGCTTTCTGTCGACAGACTCAATTAGGTTTTACAACCATCCAATTAAACGGGCTGCTGTGACCATGGCCACTTTATAAGCAAGCAGACCAATGCACAGAGAGGCTAGGCAACTCGCCCAAGCCACCCAGGTAATGAACAGGAGGAACAGGATGAGAGGTTGGACTCCAGATCCCATCATCCCCAGCCTCACCCCAATTCTTGCTGTCATTCTTCTGTCTTAAGCATTTCACATGTCAGCTTAGGTTCTCCACATGGCTTTCCCTGACAGGATGAATGAACGACGGCCCCAGTCCACTGTGCTCAGCACCGACCCTTCATAATCGTGGCACACGAGCTTCTCTGGTCAGAGCCATGAACATCTTTCCCAGCCTCCTCGCTGGGTCATGTCACATGACAATTTCAGGGAAATCAAGCCCTACCTATTCCTTTCACCCTCTTAATCCCTCCCTCCGGGCTCTGAGGAGTCAGGTCCCCCAGGCTGGGATGGAAGAGCAAAGAGGAGCTGTCCCTGGGTCTCGGGTCAGATATGGAGCTGCTCTGTGCCTCCCGGACACTCCTGGTCTGTGACTCTTACAGAGCAGGAGTCCAACCTAGGCAGTGCCAGGGAAGGAAGGTTTGCAGGCCATACCTGGGCCAGACCATCCATTCACAAAGGAAGAAACGGAGGCCCGAGGAGGAAAACTGAGCGTGGACAAAGTCATGGGGCTGCTCTAGCAAAGCAAGACCTGAATTCAGGTTCTCTGGCCCTTGGGTCCATTCCGGGATCCCAAAGAAGGGCACAGGGCAGAATGGATTCTTCTTTCAGAATGGCTGGGTCGATAGCATATGGATTGCAGACCAATGAACATGGCTGCAGTCTGAGAACCCGGGGCAGATGGTGAGCAGGAGGCTGATTCCCACCGCCCTCCCAATTAAGACTGCAGTAGGTGATAGTTAGGAGGGCTATGAGATCCCCAGGCTGAGGAATTCATGTAAGAAATGGAAGAGCAACTCATACATGACCACATAGCAAGCTGGCCATAGATGGCTGGGTCCCAGCCTGCGTCTTAGGCTGGCCTCTATGCACACTACACTGGTTTCCATCATCCCAGTCTAGGTGCCGGTCGGACAGCACAGCCTTGTCCTGCTGGAGCCCTCTGTGGCCTTCTCTGTGGGGACTCAGGTCTGGGGGACAGGAGTGTATATGATAGGAAGAGAATGACTCTCCCATTGTCTGCTTCCCACAGTCCTGCTGCTTCGATGCCCCTGGGCCCAGCTCCACGTTACACACACAGTCACTTAGCTCCTCTCGTCCCCAAATTAAAGAGTTCTTCCAATTAAACTAGCCCCAGCTGATCTCTGTAGAACAGGGCGAACCTTGTGCTCTGACCTCAAAATGCAAAAGCAGTGGAAGCCAAGAGCTCTGGTCCCATCTCAACAAAACCCTGACGCTACCTGCATGGCAGGCACCTGGTTAGCCCTCTCGGGATGCTAGCACAAACCCTAGGAGGAAAACATGAGGGGAGATGAAGGCTCCAGGGTGACAGCCTCTGATTACTGCCATTCTCAGGCAAGGATAAGATGCATCCTGTCTTCAGGGAACCGGGGGACACTTCATCTCATCATTGCAGAGGTGCCAGCAGGTGGTCTGGATCCTTGGCCACACACCACCACCATTGCTGCTTTCTCTTTAATAAGCCCAGCTTATGGTTATTAGAGAGTAAATCCTGAATATACCTTTCTAATGTTCCAGCTCCCCCAAACACACACCATCACTCCTAACGGCCTCTATGCTACCAAAGCTGGAAAGTAGTCCCAAGAGAGAGAGGGACCCATCTCCGGGATGTCTGTGAACCTATGGACTAAGTATTTTACAGCCACACAACTCTTGGAGACCAAGCCACCATAGACACCCAGTGATCCCTTGCAAATACCTACCCTGGCTGCCCATGCTACAGATTCTAAACTGAGGTCAAAGGCAGTATGTCTTTACCCAGGTTCCCTGCATATAACCCCCCTTTCCCCCCTCCCCTCCCTATTTACTACATGTGGTTGGTTGCTTGGGCCATTGCTATCTTCCATGTTCATAGTATGGCCCCGAGAAGCTCTTCTCCTCCCACAGACTCCGAAAGCCTGTGCAGTTGCTGAGTCCCTGGACACAACTGTGCCCAGCAGCCCTCCCTTACTCACCAGCAAAGTCTGCTTGCCAGATTTCCAAGTCTGAGGCTGGGCCTTGGGAGCCTGGCTCCGGAGGAGGGAGGGATAGCCTGGAAAGACAAGATGCTCCAGTCAAAAGGACCCGGGCTGGTGCTCAGGGACTCCCCCCAGATGGAGCAGCTCAGCTGCCTGCCCCAGAGTGACGCCCAAGCATCATCCAGCCCAAGAGCAAGTTTAGCCACCTGCAGAGGTGTGCAGCAGCTGGGATGGCACAGTTGCCAGCTGGCAGTCCTGGGAGGCTAGCCAAAGGAAGGAAGCGGCAAGGCAGAGGGAAGGAAAAGGAGCCAACCAGGTAGACGGGGACAGGCAGCAGGAGGGTGTTGCTCCCTGTCCAGGTCTGCACTATGCTGCTAAGATCACCACCCCTCGCCCTAAGGTCTTACCACCAAAGACCTGTCCCTTTCCCAGTCCAGGACAGTTCTTCAGTCAGCAGCCCCAGCCAACACTGCCCAGAAAAAAAAAAAAAAGACTCCAGGTCCTGCTATGCCTTATAGCTCAGCAGTTTACCCGAGTCACATGGCAGCAAGCAGCTATCAGGATTGGAAACCATGGCTTGCCAGACTCCGAAATCCATAATCCTATTCCTGCTGCCTGGCTCTGGTTGTATCACAGCAGCAGACCAGGAACCCACAGAAGGGCAGCTATTTGCCAGTGTGATTGTCACTCAAGGTTAGGACAGTAAGTCCAAGGTCCGAGCAGGTGGCTCTCTGCACTTGGTGAGAAGGGGCTAGCCTGGGGTGAAACTGCCTGCCACCTCCTTGGTTCTCCTTCTCAGCCCGGGACTTCTATAAAGAACATAACTGCACAGCCCGACAGAAACACCACTCAGCCCGCAAGGCAAACAGCAGGCTGGGAAGAAGCTGGCCCGTGACTTGAAGACTGAGAAGCTGGGGAGATTAACAGTGTCTGTCCTTGGCAGCCACTGTCAAGGGAGGCTGCTTGGGGTGGGCCGTACCACCTGCAGCACTTCCTGCTGCACGAGCAAGAACCCCTGGGGCTGTCCCTGCACCTAGGGCAGGAACTGCCTGAGAAAGAGAAGATTCTATGGGTCCTGAGGGACGATGAAAACTGGGAATGGAGACCTCACCTCTTGGTTTTCAGAAAGAAAAACCCATACCAGCCATAAGAGCTAAGGGGAGGGGGGGACAGGAGTGGCCCAGGAGAACAGTCTCGGCAGCAGGCAGAAATCCAGAGAGTGAGCTAGGATGGCAGGGGGGCAGGACATGCATCTCTCTCTAGGGAGCTCTGAGGAATAGGGACCAGGACACCTTAGAAGTGGCAGAGATCTCCCCCAGGATGGCCCACCTGCCCTGCTATGGCAGAAGAAGGGAAAGGGTGGGAAGAAGGTGGGTACCGGGATTGTTTTTAAAGAGCCCACTGCGGTCCAGTGGCTTGGAAAACTCTGCAGTGGCCTGTCCCAAGGTTGTGAATTGATAGGGGGCTTTCCCAGTGCCTGCTGGGAGAGAGAGAGGTGTTAGCAGCATGCGCCTACTATCCAGGAGGCCGAGACTCTAACACCTCACTGGGGCACTATGCTCCTCCGTGCTTTGCAGCCTAAGCTCAGACCTGGGAACTGGAGCCGCCTTGGTAGCCCCGGTGTTCCCTGTCTGCCTGTGGATCTGGTAGACGGTATGGGGAGCAGGGGGTCTCAGGAATCCAGGCTATCCTTCTGACATACAGGGCAACCTGTCTAGGCCATTCCTAGTCATCGTGGTGAGTTACTCTGTGTGAGGGTGAGGTGGATTCCCTGTATCTGACAGGACGTCCTTCCAGGGCAGGCCTTAGCCAGAGACTCTCTGCAGTCTGCTGGGCAATGTTTGAGGGCTAAGAGCTGTTACTCTCTGTGCCAGGTGGCCTTCAGGCTAGGCTTGATCAAGGAACAGATAAGCATCTTCTGGGAGCCAGCATGCCAAGGCTAGTCCCAGAGTGTCCCAGACCTGGCCCAGGGACGGGACTTCTCCTGGGTCCTGAAGGCTAGAATCCCTTACTCTTTCCCTTCTTCTTCTTGCTAGTAGTAGTAGTCCAGGAATCTTGTCCTTCATACAGACTGTGCCCTAGCCTGGACTTGAACCACTAAGTGCTAAAGCCACTTCAGAGGACTCTGTTTGCTATGGGCGTTTGGTGGGGGGTGCTCCAGACAGTTCCTTTCTCTCTTGTCCCAAGGAACCCAGCCGCTGATCCTCCTGGGTCAGGCATTTGGGTGTAGGGAGAGGTGAAATCCCCATCAGAGCTGCCTCTAAGGCCTAGAGGGAGAGGCAGGCCCTGAGCCTGCTACACACAGGGAATAGCACACACTGCTGCACTGTACACTACAACACCCTGCTTCAAGCCTATATCCTCAGGATGACCCCAACCCCACGGGGTAGGAGGTGCAGTTCATTCAACCAGCTCAAGACCTACAGGAAGACAGTAGTAGGTGGGGGTCAAGTATAGGAAAAGAATGTCAGACCCAAAAGGCCTGATCCCACCTCCCCAGAGGAGCTGCTGCAAGATAACTCTATAAGAAGAGTGGGATCCAGCCAGCTGCTGGGAGGCACTGAGGAGTTAAATCAACTCCATAGCAGAGAGGCTGGGAAAGTAACCCAAGGGAGCATTTAGGCCACATAGATAAGGATGCCTCTCCAGTCACCGAGGCCTATCGTCCCAGCCCATCTTTAGGAGTCAGTATGTAGTGTGTATGTCACACCCAAGAAACACTGCCATAGCCTGGCCCCTTTCCCTTCTTTGGGATGCACCCAAGGCCCAGGCTCAGCTTCCATCTAGATCAGAGCCCTCACTTCCAGAAGGTGAGGGGAGAACTAGCCAGATAGGGAACAGAGACTCAAGCAGGGCAGCCTCAAGGCAAAGCAAGGGGTAGGGGTGAGCTCACCTTTCAAGGAGAAGGAGGAGTTGCCCTGCACAATGGGCATGTCCTCAGAGTTCTGAACAGTGGACGAGTACTCCCAGACCCTGGAGGTATAGTTACCTGGCAGGACAAAGAAGGCATATCAAGCTGGGTGGTGGGGGGGCACACCTTTAATCCCAGCACTCAGGAGACAGGGGCAGGCAGATCTCTGTGAGTTCAAGGCCAGCCTTGTCTACAAGAGCTAGTTCCAGGACAGGCTCCAAAGCGACAGAAAAACCCTGTCTTTCAAATCAAAACATAGTTTAGCCTGGCAGTGGTGGCGCACACTTTTAATCCCAGCACTTGGGAGACAGAGGCAGGAGGATCTCTGAGTTTGAGCCCAGCCTGGTCTACAAGAGCTAGTTCCAGGACAGGCTCCAAAGCAACAGAGAAACCCTGTGTCAAAAAAACCAAAAACTAAAAAAAAAAAAAGACAAATAAAAAATAAAATAAAAAGGCACATCAGACCCAGGTAGACTGGCCTGAAGAAGGAAGGAAGGACCAGGACAAGATCAAGTCCTTGACTCTTCGTCCATTTGCTGCCTCTGAAGTCAGGACACCACTATGCCTCATCACACGTCCTCAGCCTTCCCTGCTATGGAAGGTGTGTAAAGGATAGGTGTGTTCCTGCAGCCCACTGTCCTCACAATAAGACGTGGGTTTGTGCTGTGCAGTGTGTATGATGGGGTGTGGAGTGGCCCGTTGCTACAGCCCACATGAAAGATCAAGAGGACACCTTTGTGCTGTTTCTTTCTAACCACCTTTACATGGGGTTCCAAGAGTCAAACTCGGGTCCCCAGGCTTGCACAGCAAGCACCTTTGCCCGTTGAGCCATCTTGTCAGCTCCACTCCTCAGATTAAAGGGCATCCCTGGACACAACGTACAGGTCTTGTGTGAGCTGCTCATTCCACCCCACTTCCTGGAATTCCAGCCAACTTGTGACCTCACTTCCTCCAACAATAGCTTCTTTCTTGTCTCTGGTGTTGGATCCAGAATGGTCCTTTGCTTAGGATCCGCCCTTCCTCCCCATCCCCAGCAAATTCATACAGCATGTTCCCATGTCAGCTCTCCCAGAACCCTGTGTATCTCTTCCTGCTGCCCCTTATTATCCTGCACATCCCATGCCCTGGGTTGCAGTTGGCTGTTTAATTGTCCATCTCTTGTGGTGCTGGGGACATGCTTGTTTTGGCCCAGCATCAAACCGATGCCTGCCAGAGCCTTATTCCTAGAAGGTACTCACTGCATGTTTGATGGATGCACGTACTAACTAATGAACAAATAAATACAAACACATCCTATCGCTTGGGGACAGAGACAGTTGACAGAATGCCTGGTGTCCTGTTCATGGGGGTGAACGAGCTAACAGACAGCTCTGTGCAAGGAGGCTTTTGTGATGTGGAGAAAGAGGAAGAAGGGAGAAAGATCAAGGGCATCAAGGTGATGTTAGAGTCCCGGGTTGACAAGGCACCAGCTCTTCCTCGGCAGCAGGAAGCCTTGGGTGCCTCCTAAGTGAAGCTCCCTCTGCAGCCGTGCCCACGAGTCAGTGTGCTCCTCTCGTCCTAATGGATGAATCGTGTGAAATGAGGCAGGTAGCCACCCTGAAGCTGGATTTGGGGGCCGCCCCCAGTAAGAGTCAGGATACAAGGCATACCTCCACTGAGTCATGAACTAGCCACGAAGTGCTTAAAATAAATTGTCTTGCTGCTATTCTCTCCTATAGGTACTTTCTGGGTTGGTCAGACCTGTAACTGTTTTGTATGGGAAATGAAGGACAGGTGGGCAGGTGTTTGTGCATGTATGTACACATATGTGGAGGCCAGAGGTCAACATCAGGTGTTGTCACTTGTCCACATTGTTTTGGGGACAGGGTCTCTTTTGAACCTGGCACTTGCTGATTAGACAGACCAGTCAGCATGATTCCGGGATTTTCCTGTCTCCAAGCACTGAGATTACAGGGACGTGGAGCTATGCCCAGTTTTTGCACATGAGCGGTGGGAATCAAACTCAGGTCCTTGTGTTTGCGTGGTAAATACTTTACCAATAGAGCTAGCTAGCTTCGCGTGCCTCTGCAGCTATGAATATTAATGACCAGCAGAGAGGTGCAGGCATTGTCATCTCCTCTGGATGGCAGTGACCTTCCAGTTTCCAGGTGTCTATTCTCCATTGAAGAGTCTCCCCAGTGCTGGATCTAGGTGGGGGTGCCTGGCCGAACTGGCCCATTATCCAAGAAGTCCAGCACAAAATCATGGTCCCCCAAACAGAGGCTTCAGGAGCACACAGCCCTGACCTGGGGCACAATGGTCTCCTTAGCACACAGAGCAGGAGACCCTGTATTTGACAGCCATATTTGGGACAGGTCCATTTCAGCCCCCACCACACTTCTGTCATAAGGAATCGTCGTGGTGCATCTGGGATTTCCAGGCACACTGGTGTCAAGTCATGCCTTCCTTTCCGTTTGCACCTTAGATAAATCATTGTATGACTAGGACAAAAGTCAACTCGGGCCTGTCGGCCTTCTGTCCCGATGCTTGCTGGGAGAGGCCCCCACAGCCAGACACTCACCCCGTTTCCCCCTACTCATCCCTCGGGGATAAGAAGAGCAAATGGACTGGGGAGTTTTAAAAGATGTTGGGTTTCAGTAGCTTCTCTTCGAGCCTAACCAATGACCTCATGCATTTCTGCATTAGCCAGCACACATGTGCATGTACACACACACACACACACACACACACACACACACACACACACGTCCTGCCCCGGTTCCCTATATTCATCTCACACTGGGTAATCAAGACATTCAAATTCAATCCATGGCTCAGCCAGTCCTGGGACCATCACCCCATGCTCCCTCCTGCCTACCCTAAGCTGAACCCCCTCCTACCTTTTGTGCCATACAGATTGTTGAAATTCTTCTGGTTGGTCTCCTTGGAGAGGCGGCTGGGCGATGACGGCTGGTAAGATGTCCGGCCCCCTGTGGGGCAGAAACATCATTTCAGAAAGGTGGGCTTGACTCAACTCAAGGCCTGTGGCCTCTGACTTGGGGGGAATCCTAGACAGAACCCTGTACATCTCCCTGAGAACCCACTGGACCCTCCCACTGGGCTTTCACCACCCAAATGAGAACCCTTTGGGGAGCAGAGGGGACACTATTGGCTGATGTTCCCAGAGCACTAGAATTCTGGATGGCTCTGAGTATGCTAAGATGCTTGGTCATTCTACTTGGGAGCCTTGAGAGCAGGGGGCTGATAAGCCCGCTCCTGAGCCAGGGCCTGTCTGAACTGTTCTGCAGAGCCTGAGATCTGGGGGAATAGGAGAAAGGGGAGGCCATCACAGTGGTGGGGGAATGGGGAGCAGAGGCTTTGGGTCCTCACCCCACAGACTTAGCCTCCTACAGAAGACTAATGAGCCTGCTGGGAACTTGTTCCAGGTATCAGCACAGCCTGTGACTGCTCACCGCCCTCCTGTCTTGTGTTCCCACACAGCCCTGTGTCTCTAGCCCTCTTGTCCAGACACCACACACCCCACAAACTGCTGGCTCGCCCAACCCAGCACCTGCCTGCCCTTCCCCTTTCCCTCACAGTCCTGCCAGACACCCCACACACACACACACACACACACACACACACACTTGTACTGTCCAGAGAGCCCCTCCTTCCCGAGCCTGGGAACTTACTTCTCCAAGGGAGGGAGTCATTGTCACTGCCTAATCCCACTGACTCTAAACTTCCAGGCCTTTAGTGGCCTTGTTTCCCTGATCCTCTCCATGTCTCTGCAGCCCCTCCCAGGCCTCTCCTCTACCCTGAGCCTGGGAGCTGCAGGTGTCCTGCCCATCCTGTCCCTGCAGGGCAGGGACACTGGAGGAACCTGTTTCTTCTACCTACAGATGTCATAGCTGACTCATGGGGACCAAGCCAGAGGGGACAGTGACCAGCCTCAGGTTGACTCAGCCTTGGCACTCTCAGGGAGCCCCTGTGGCAGGTAGCACTTCCCACACCTGGTGGCCAACAGCGGGGCCACTCTCTCCCTGGTTCTCCCTTATGCAGGGAGAATCAAGCGGGAACAGTGGGGTTTGAACCACCCCATCTGGACCAGGGGGAGAGCCAGAGAGACCAGGCTAGGCAGACACAGGCTTTAAAACAGAGAGCTTCTGAGGACCCGGCCAGCATAGTTTGTCCTTTCATGGAACTGGCTAAGAGCAGAGCTCTGGCCAGAGAGGGACAGGACTGATGGTCAGAGCCTGATTCACCCCAGAAATGTCAGAGGTGAAATCTCAGTACTCCTCTGCTGCCTAGAACCTCCCAAAAGTCTGAGTGTTGTTTTGAAAGGCAGGGTACAGAGCTTCCTATCAGATGAGCTCACTTCTCCCAGTCCCTCGGCCTGCCCACTGCAGCAGTGATCTGTCAGTAACTGCTCAGGACCTCTGGTTCCTCTCTCCAGCTAAGTGCCTTCTCAGACCTTCCCCTCCCACCCCACCCTCTACTCTCCAGCACCCTCACTCCTCTCCAGGCCCCTTAGCTCCCACATGCACCAGCACACCCCCTCTACCCTGTGGCCTGGTACCCCCACCCTTATGTACCAAGCACTGTGGTGGTTCATCACTAACGTCTAAGAATGTTCAGACTATTCTAAGCCAGGGACAGGCAGGTCCTGGCCTAGAGCCCCCAGGCTGTCCCCCTGTAGAGTAGGCTAAGGAGGCAGGTGACTTGAGGGAAACACACAGAGGGGCAGACTGGCTTTGAAGGTGGCAGCCCTACCCAGGGCTCACTCCTTGCAACAGCTTTGGCAGAAGCGCCACCACACAGCTCTGGACTGCGGGAGGAGAGTCTGTGAGATACTCTAAAGGACAGAGGCCACAGGAAGGGCAGGAGTGGCAGACTGCACAGGTGACCAATGCATCTAAGGAACTGAGTGCTGGATAACCTGTCACCAAACCAGGACATGTGTCACTTCAGCATGAAAGGAGGCACTGGGAGCCACCACACAGGGACAGGAAGCAGGGGCCAGACACACTGAGTTATGGTCACTCTACCCAGGAAGAACCTGTCTGAGAGTGACTTTGGGCCTCGGCCGTTGGTAGCGTACTCCCCCTCACCCTTGGGTGTGAGGTACATGGAATATCTCTTCATGGTGTCGGGCGTGCTCCACTCGTTCCCGAAGCTGCTCGTGTAGCTGTTCATGTAACGATGGTCACCACCTGCAAGAGAGGTAGGTCAGCAGAGGAACAGGTGGCTCACAGGGAGAGGCAAACTATCACAACCTCGGAGAATGTGGCGACACGGTCCACACTGCCCCTGCTCCTCCAGTGAGCCACTGCCCAGGCACACAGTCTCCTCCTTGCGAGGGCAATTGTGTGCATGACAAGGACATACCCATTTGGGGCACCCATTTCTTATTTGATCTGTACATCATCTCTTGGGCAGGTATGACCATCTCCATGTGACAGAAGGGGAAATCAAGGCTCGGGAGGTGAGGGCAGTGAGATGCCCCTGCTAACAGGACAGTCAAGGAGGAGTTGGGATTTGATTCCTGGCCCTACTTCATACCTCAGCCCCAGCTACAGCTAGCAGCATTGGGTGGTTGACTGGAGTCCTGTCTTGGCCTCTGTGGTCCAGAGACTGGCCAGCTGTGTAGGGTGAGCTGCACACAGCTGCAGGCCCGCAAGCCCCAACTAACCTATCTCTCGGTGGCCAACTCTGCCTCTGACCCTGCAGAGGCTGTGCCCACCATCTCCTGTCCCTTACAGCTTCCTGACTTCTAGTGCCTCCATCTTTCTTGCTCTCTCTCTCAGGTAAGGAGTGAATGGCTCAGATCTATCCTTCATCTTCATCTCCATCACCAGCAGGATCCTGGCACACAGTAGACTAAAGGCGTTTGTCCAGCCCTGGTCCCACTAAACAAAAAAACCTCTGGTGCCTCTGTGCCCTGGGCCTGTGGGGTTGGGGATGCAACCCTGGTCTGGGAAGCAAGCCATCATTAGGAAGCAATAGGTGGTCACTCCAAGGCCTGGCTCATCAGCTACCCATCCTCCATCTCCTACAACAGATAGCATCTAACCACTAGGCAACAGTAAGAGAAACAAAGGCAAAGAAGGCTTCCCCTGGGCCTGCGGCACAAGTTCAGGACGGCTGAATCAGCACACCCAGCCTTGCTCCTGGCTGCCATCTCACTTCACACCTTACATAGGACGCCGGGCCACACCTGCACAGAGGCTGTGGCAGGAACCATCATGACCTAGAAACGGGGCAATGAACAACCACCGGGAAGCTGGGGTGATTCCTACAAGGTTCACGTCTCCCTACCCCAGTTAAGACCATCCTCTCTCATCTGCCCAAACCATACCCAAGGACTCCCCTGCGAGGTTTGTACGGTAGAGATGAAGATGCTCCTTCTTCAAGCCACTGCCGCTGCTCTTGGCAGCGGTAGTGGCTTTGCTTAAGAAGAGAAAGCCTAGCAGCCATACGAGCAGAGTGTGAAGCCCAAAAGTAAGCTCTCCCGGTCAGCTGGGGGCCCTTTGAAAGGCTGCTTCCCTGAGTACCTGGACATCTGCAAGGGCTAACTCCCCACAAGGGAGCAGGGAAAGGCCAAGGAAGGAAGGAACTCAGCATAACGCCCACATCCTGGGAGCCCTCAATCACCTCAGCTGTCGCCGTCCCCATTAGGATCACGGCGATCATCATTAGGGAAAAAAAGGCTGTCAGGATCTGAGTGCCAATTTAAGTCAAATGATTGTCTCGCTAAAATGGCTTTATCTGTCCTTAGGTATGATTGAACATCCCCCGTATTTCACAGGGACATGGCATGGTATCATACACGGGTGGTCCCCTCCACCCTCCTAGGCCCCTCTCCTCGGGGAAGAGTGATGTGATCCACCTGGAGACCAGAAAGAATCATTTCCGTTGGGTGTTGATGGCTATGAGGCCTTGATCAAGCTGTTTTTGAAGACCTTGCCCTGGGTCTGTGCCATTGGGGCGTAGCCTTGGAGAAAGTACCCGGGCTTCGGGCCCTAAAGGGATTGGGATCGGGTAGAATGGGGCTTAACAGGGCAGTTCCTCAAGTTAGCAGGCTTTCTGGGAGCTAATTCAGTTGACCTCTGCAGGGAGAGCATGTCTCAGAGAAGGAGCTGATTTCAGGGCAGGTGAGTCAGAGAGACACGCCAATGCCCCATCACCTCCAATCCCCAGCAGGCCAGTTTTAGCCTGTGGGCTCAACATGACTCAGAACAACCATGGTGACGGGCCTCTCTCCAAGTTCAGATGTAACTCTAGGTTCCTTCTGAAGCCTGCAAGTGGCCCGTTCAAGCAGCAGCAGGGATGCAACTGCTGGATTAGACCTGGCAGTCAGATGGAGATCTGAATGAAACCACTCCTCGACACTAATGAATGGCCCACAGAGGAGGCACCTACGCGGCAGTTCCCAGAATCTCCCTGCCCTAGGTCCCTTGTAATAACTGCCAGTCCAACGGGAATGCTAGAATCCCTGAAGCCTAGTCGAAACACGCTCTCATGGATGAGGGAATGGAGACCTGAGGAGTCAACCACTCAGGTTCCTGCCTGACATCAGACAGCAGGAATTTACTGAGAAGCACCCCCAGCCTTATCCCCGTGGACAAGGGAGTACCTACCATTCTCCATATGGTTCCTCTCAATGAAGTTGCGGCTCAGGTCGGCCTTGCACATCTTCTCAACATGGCGCATGCACACATTGAGCAGGTCATCCTTGAAGTTGCCAAGTGACTGTCCCAGGCCCTCTCCTTCCAGCAGGACATGGTAGGTGGGCAGAGGTGGGGGGAGGGAGTAATTGCTCATCAATGCACCAAATTCCTACCAAGAAAGAAAAGCAGCCATTAACTTTGCCATTCTTTGGGAGCTATGTGGACCTTGGTCTGCATGGGAGCTCTCTGGTTAGCTGGGGACTCTGTGCTGAGAGCCAGAGTTCTAGGATGGGCAGGATAGCTAGCCTTGCTCTTCTTCACTGGACATATGAGTCAGCTAAAGTCAGTCTTGATTGAACTAGCATTCGGATGAGTGATGCCACGGCTCCCAGCACTGATGTGTACACGCAGAAGTTGTGGTCTTTGGGGGAAAGGGTACGTGAGAATACTAGAACAGTGTGGGTATTTCCATCTTCACAGACTCACTCCCTCCTGTCTCCACACCTCCCTTTTTCGTCTCTGGCACACCCCTCCTCCTTCTCCAGTCCTAAGCAGCCTGCAAGACCCTATTCAAACTCCACCTCCCCCACAAAGTTGTCCTCAGATTGCTCTAGCCTGCTGGCCTTCTCTGAATTTCCATAGGCACTTATCTCCTGAGCCACATGCTTTATCATTTAATTACACACTTTTCCATATTGTTCTCTAATTGTACATGTCTTATCTTCCCAGCTGGATTTCAGCTGCTTGGGGGCATAAACCGTGCCTTAGACTTCTCTATTTGCCTGGGCACCTGATAGAGTCCTGCACGCCCAGGAGTAGCAAAACATTCTAGCAGACAGAAAGATGGGTGCATGAATACACAAGCAGATTAGATCAAAGATAACAAATACGCAACACTCTTACGCCACTCCTCCCTTACCCAAAGCAGGCATTACTAATTAATCACAGAACCCTTTCTTATCAAGCCTAGAGCACTACTGGTACATAGCAATTGATTTTGATACAAGGTGACATTTGTGTGCCATCCTTAGAGTAGTAGAGAGTAGACTGGAAAGAAAATAAAATAGATGGAAGGATTAGTAGTGAGTGGGTGGGTAAATGGTGGGCTGATGGGTATGGAGTAGATGAGTGTTGGTAATGAACAGATGGATGATGGGTGGGTAGGTGGGCAATGAATAGATGGGTGGGTGGATTAGTAGTGATTGAAGGGGTGATGTATGTATGTTTGGATGAATGGATGGATGGATGGATGGATGGATGGATGGATGATGGGTGGATGGATGGGTGGATGGATGGATGGATGGATGGATGGGTGGATGGGTGGATGGATGATGGGTGGATGAATGGATGGATAGATGGATGAATGGATGGATGAATGAATGGATACTAGGTGGATGAATAGTGAGCTTATGGGTATTGGATGCGTGGATGGAGGGATGAACGACTGAATGGATAGTGAGCATATAGGTAATGGGTGGGTGGATTGATGGGTGGATGGTGAGTCGATGAGAAGCGAGTGGATGGGTAGTGAATGGGCAGATACATGGATGGATTGATAGTGGGTGGATGGGTAGCAGACAGGTAGTGAATGGGTAAGCAGGGGACAGATGTGTGGATAAATGGGTAAGGCAGGCATGGATGGATAGGGAATGAGAGCCTGCAAGATGGATGATTTGAGTGAGGGACTGAGGATCTGAATGGCTGCGTCCGTACCTGCAGAAACAGCACCGAGTCACTGATGCTATGCAGCTGCTCTCGGGTCTGCTTGTCCTCTTGCAGCACCTTGGCCCTCTCATCCAGGGCATCTACGATCACTTTCACTTGGTCCACAGCATCTTGTTCCCGCTGCTCCAGCGCAGCTCTTACTTCTTCCTTTTGCTTCTCCAGGTCCCTCACCAGGTCCCTGAAGCTCTGCTCCAAGATGGCCTTCTCATTGGTGGTAAAGCTCTAGGTCCAGAATGGAGGGGGATGAAGAAGATTTGCATTAAGGGAAAAACCCTAGCTTTCCAACAGACTTAAAGAACCCTCAGGGCCCTAACTTTGCAAGCCTCCTTGACCACAAATCTCTTTCAAAGGCATCACTGAGAGAGGCCAGTTGATAACCATGCCAGTGTGTGGGTGGTTGATTTGAGTTGTTTGAGACTGGATCTCAAGTAAAACAGGCAAGCCCCAGACTTACTATGTAGTCCAGGCTTAGAATATCTGGTCCCTCTACCCACTGAGTGCTGGGATTACAGGTGTGTGTCACCACATCTGTCTGCAGGTGTTTCTTATTGTCTAATCTTCCTTATCTACTGTGGCTTTTTCCCCTGGGTGGGTCAGCATGAGCCACTATTCCATGCTCAAATGACTCTCCAGAGGCTCAGACAATCTCCTTCAAGTCGGGGTATGCTTGCTTCAGTTGAATTGCGTTGCCTCAACTTGAGCCAACCTTATTTGGGGAGTAAATCAGTTGGCTGTTCCTGAGGGCAGACTCCACAGTCAATAACTTTATACTCGTTTGCCATTATCCAAACCACAGCAGACATACTGCTTACCATGCTGGCCCAAGTAGAAAAGAAATGGGTTGTACTTAGTAGTTTAGGTAGTCTGGTAAGCAAATCAGACATCAGAGGACATTGGAAAGCTCACTGAAGAACAGGTCTAGGATCTTTGCAAAATACTACCAAAATGCCTGAGCTAGGTAGGCTGAGAAAGGAAGTGTGTGGGGATGGCAAAGCAGCTGGAGGATCCCAGACAAGAAAGTATGGGTATCACTTTGGGCCAAAGCCTGGAGCAGCACTGAGGTCTGCCTTCTCCCAAGCAATAGAGGCAAGTGAGGGTGCCATAGCAAGGGAGCCTGAGGCCACTCACCTTGATCCGGTCCTTCTCCTTCTGCCACTTCTCAGCCTCATCTTCAACCTCAATGATTTTCAGCTGCAGCTGCTCCTTCTGCAGTGACAGCTCGGTCTGTGGGGAAATGTGGAAGTTGAAGCTGCTGTGAGCAGGGAGAGAGAGGAACAGAACCAGAGACCCAGGCTGGTGACTCACCACACGAGCAAACTCAGGCAGATGCGACACTCATCCGTGCAACCTTTCCCTCAGCAATTGTTGTCAGCACCCCAGAACTGCTGGACCCTGAGCTAGTGGCCGAGGATTCAGCCACGCATCAAGTGCCATACCTCCGTACTCTCAGACCACTAGAGCTAAACAGCTTGGCCATGTCTTTACAGGGGTTAAGCCTCCCAGATCCTTCCCACCTAATGCTCCTTCCAGTGGGCCTGGGGCCTTTGGTGAAAGAGAGGATCTGGACTCAACCCAATTCCACACAGCCCTGCCCAGGGAGTGGCTTGTAGCAGTAACCCCATGCAACGTTTCTGTGGCATGACGCAGGCCTTGTTTTGCAAGCAAGAGCTGGGGTTGCCGCCGGCACAGACTCGGTCCAGGCAGGCACAGCTGTAAACCTGTTTATAAGAAAGGGAACGTATCTGCAGTGTAGGCAAGATGCGGACTCTTCCCCAGGCTCTCTGAAGGAAAGAATACAGAGTGAGGCTAGGAGGGGAGGAGAGGACCTGAGACCCATGTTCAGAGGCACTCTGACTGTTGGATCCCAGGACAGCAGGGAAGAGGCTCTATCAGGAGGGCACTGAGACATCAGCCTTCCATCTATGCTTGGCTTCCACGTGGGGGAAGGTCCCTCTCTGAAAACCAGCTATAACTGAGGCAGCCTGGAAGGCATGAAGCTAAAGCCAAAGCTATTTCTATGAGTTAAGGATGTCTCTTTTTCTTTTCTGCTGGCCCCCACTGGAGTTCCCAAAGCCCTGTCTAAAGCTTGGAAGATAAGGGGGTGATCATTCAAGGAGGTCTTGCATGACTCAGAGCTCCCCACAACCGCTGCCATTTAAAAACAGACTCTCTCTCCTTTTCCTAGCCTTCTTCCTGAGGAACCCACAAGAACAGCTGAGGCAGAAAAATTACAAACCATTAGGATGATGAGCTCTCCTGGCAAGGAGCTGTGAGCATCACCAGTGACCTTTGAGCATCTCACAAAACTAAGGGGTGTCTGTGGGGTGTCTGCAGCAAAAGTTGAGGGGATACCCTGGGATGCTTGCTGCAAACCCCAGAGCAGGCTCCCACTGGCCTTTGAGAAATGGTGCCCAGAGGTAGAAAAGACAGGGACACGGGGGTCACAGAGACCCCCAGATAGGAAGTCCTGCTGCCATGGCCTGCCCACTGCTGCCATGCTCCCAGGCTCTCCGGGCAAGAAGAGTCTAGGATTTTCTCAGTAAGCATCTACTCCACCTCCACAGTTTGACAGCCCCACAGCATGAAAAATATCACCAGAGAGGAAGACCAGCTTGTAGGAATGGATGAGGGTGGGGACTTGGCCTTGGGGTCTCTTGAAACAAGGCTTGGGACAAGACACAGTAGTGGGAAGGAGGAGAACAATAAGAATAAGCTCCCACCCTCCAACTCTGTTCTTTGAGGGTGAGGTGTCAGGGAGGCCAGGAATCAAAGGCCAGCCAGGCTAACGATCTGAGGACCCTAATGTGGCCCAGGCGTGAGCAGCAGATCTGCATCCTAAGGAATAGAAAAAGAAAGATAATTGGGTCTGTCCCAGCAACTTTCCCATCCCTAAAGGATTCCTGGGGGGAGACCAGGGTCAAAGTACAGAAGGAGGCCTCCCATCTTCTGTAGCTGAGCCTTTGAATTGGCTCACCCAGAGCTCATGGATAGGAATCCAAGATGGAGACCCCTAACCATCACCCACAGGCAGGCTGTAGGGTTTGACAAGATCCTTAACTTCTCTAGGCTTCAGTAGCTCCTCCGTGCTGTGGAGGTTACCTAAGCTCCCACACCCACAACAGAGGGTGTAAGAGAGATGGGAATCTGTAAGTGAAGCACCCAGAAAGCACCTGGCAGAGAGTAGGTGCTGACTGAATAATGTCCCCATGGCCACATCTATATGGCACTTCCCAGGTGGGGCAAAGCAGTAGGCATAACAAGTAGGGCAGTGACAGCCATGTCCAGGTGGCTGCGCTGTGTTGGATGGTGAGTCTGGTGCATGGGGTCCGATGGGGTCCAGAGGTGGTAGGGACACAGTCAGGATAGGGAGGGCCGGCTGAGGGGTGGACAGTGGCTGAGACATCAGACTTAAGATGTACGAGACCATGAAAACTCAAAAGCAGGAGACACTGAGGGAAGTGGTAGAAGGTAAAAACCAGAAATAAGAGTTAGGGGTGAGCAGTAGCGCCAAGAGACACCTATCAGGGGCTGTATGGTTAGCCCACAGCTGAGGAAAGGGTCCGTCCTAGGAGAATGGATTGGCCAGCCAAGGGGAAGAGAAGAGGTACTGAGTCCAAGGGATAGAGTCCAATGCGGCTTAAGTCATGAGTCAAGGATGAAGAGAGATCAGTTCCTGGGAGTCGACTCTATGAAAGGGAGGGAGGAGGAGGTGGTCAGGGGTCACCTGAGGTCTGGAGAGAAGAGCGGAGGTGTTGGCCAGCCACCTATGTGAAGAGGAGGGGACCAGCCCGGACACGTGCAAGGGCCAGATCAGAAGCGGAGACAGATTGTCTGCTACAGTGGGCGGTGGAATGGGTCAGGACGGACGAGGGCCTGGCTCTCCTTTTCTCTAGGATTCAAAGGAAGCTGGATACAGGCTGGGGTAGACCCAAACCACAGTCAGCAAGACCAGACCTGCAGGCCACAGAAAGTTCTGGGGCTGGGAGTAGTGCCACAGTAATGGTCTCTTCTCCCCTCCAACTGAGGAGTGGAGTTGGGGTCAGAACTCTAAGAGTGTGCCTCAAATCTTAGTGCTTGTTGGTTGGTTTTGTTTTTGTTTTTTTTGTTTTTTTTTTTTTTTTTTTCTGTACGGAAAACCATGGCCGCAGGAGGAAAGTCACTGGGGCCACTGAGCATCTCCTACAAGCCAAAGACGCTGTGAAGGTCAGTGGTGCTAGCCATGTTTTGAAGTTGTGGTCACCGAGGCCAAGAGGGACCATATAGCTGGCCTGAGTGTGCACTGTGAGAAAGACAGGTGTAAAACCAAGATGCCATCACAGGGCCCATTTCTTTCTCCGTGGCCCTCAGAGGCGCTGCTCGGGCAGCAGTCTAGATAGAGACCTTGTCCTTCACCCGCTTCCCCACCTCCTTGAAGCTGATGGAGTTCAGCAGTTCTCCCCTCCTTTCGCCTCCCCCACCCCCAAGGGCTCCGGCTTCCGCCCCGCCACTCTCTCTGCTCCCACAGAAGGTAGAGGCAGCCCCAGGTGTTTGACAGGTCCCAGCTCAACAGTGCTCCACCCCTCCCCGTCCCTCCCTCCTGGCTTCCTCCCACTCTTCGCTTCTTTCCCTTCACCCTGCCCAGGCCTGTCCCTAAATGCTTCCTTTGTTCCCTTCTCCCACACTGTCTGGGGCCTCTCCTCTCTGATGGTGGGGATGGCCCTTGCGTGGGTCACCCAGCCTTGAAATTCTTGTGGCCTTGAGTGAGTAGAAGTCCCCTGAGAATAGAGGGAGGGGTGGCAAAGCCATGCTCCTTGAGCCTAGATCGGCCATCAAGTGCAGACATCACCAGGAACTAGACAGGGGGACCTGCAAGGCCCCCAGGAGAGGACTCTGGCCCGCTAAGATCTTCCGTCAGCCTGGACTAACTGCATGGGCCCTGGGCTGTGACTTTTGCCAAATGAGCCAGTTAATTGCCAAATTTGTACTCCCAGACACATGGTAATTACCTGGATAAGAATCTGAAATGCTGAATAGATTTCTTATTTCTATGCTCCCATGTCAAACAGCCCTGTATCTGTCCGTCAATGTCACTGACGTTCTCACCCCTCTGCTTCCTCACAGCCCTCAGGTTGGACGAAAGTGCTGACGGGGATGAGACGCTTCATCCTGGCATCTGCAGACCAGCAATGAGCTCTGCAGATGTCACCACCCGTCTCTTAGCCTCAGTTTCTTTGCAGCTAAATGGGCTACCTTCCCCCTGCCCAGCTATATATGAGAGTCCATGTGAACCAGAACCTCCTGGAGCAAGTCTGGGGATCATGGAGTGAACCCAGCCTGTAACCTGTTGTTACATGGTTGGGAGGCCGTTGGATTTGATGATCACTAGAAGACTCTTCCGATCTTGCTGGGGAAAGTGGTTTGAAGTGGTAGAGAGAAATCCCAGCCCCTCTGCTCTTCTGCCCTGGCCTTTGTGTGAATCTCCGCATCTCTAAGCCTGGTGTGGTAGGTACCCACCCCATTAGGCTGCTGCATTTGCAACCATGCAAATGCTGAGCCCAACCCTGGCCCACACATGAGCTCCACAGAGACGGGATCACCACCCACCTGCCTGGTTCTCACTTTCCTCCCTGTGTCCTGTCTCTAAAGCTCTCATTTGATTGAGTCCCCTCAGCTTCCTTGATCATGCCCCTATCTCGTACCTTAACCAGACATTCTCCCTTAAAATGCCCAGAGAGATTCTAGGCACCCTGGCTTTTAGTCCGGCTACTCTTTCTGAATTCTAGTCCCCATCATCAGCCCAAAGAGCTTTCCTCCCTAAACCAGCACAGTAAGAAACCTAAGGACCAATGGCTGCATTGGCCTAGTAACCGAGCAGCTCAGCCTTGTGCAAAGAACTGGGCAAGAAGATGAGCAATCAAGCCACGGGTCACGGGTCACAGTAGGAGGCTGAGCCAGATGATGACATCTAAAATGGGGACAAATCGCTGATTATGAGCCCCTTTAGGACGGCACTCCAGTCTGAGTGTCATCAGCACACGTCTGTCCACCCAGAGACCATGTCAAATGTGCCTTAAAGGCAGTTGTAGCAGGAAGGACTTGGAATAAATGGTGAAGTAAATGGATAAATAGGATGTTCGTGTCCCTCTTCATCTCTTCTCCTAACGTAGCCTGAGAAAACCCAGAGGGATAAGCTAGACAGGTGTGCACCTCTGGGACCACTGGGACACTGAGAGTAGAGAGGGGAACACTGAGGTCCACTAGAGGAAGGGGTCACCCTATGACACACCACATGACCTTTCCCCAGCACTATCTGTGCTCCAAGTCTGTACACAGACTGAGGTCCAAGGGATGAGTGCCTGTGGCCGTGGGTGTCGTCTTCAGCTTTGTGAAACCACCCCAGACACTGCTCGGTGACCTCACCAGCCCCACTGCAGGCCTGTGGAGCTGGTTCTGCCTGCTTCCTTGCACGAAGCCATGTGGGAGCCTGTGTTTTAGTGTTTCAGGTGCCTTCAGAGGATGCCAGAATTGACACTCTGCTTCACCCCAGTCCATCAAACCGCCCCTCCCACCCCCTGTGCTGGGTCAAAGTCCACCAAGTTTCCAAGACCCATAATAGCTGGCCTTAGACAGACTGCTCCAGCGCTGTCTTCTGGCTGCTCTGTTCCTCTCCTCTCTTGTGTCACAAGAACAAGTGCATGGCACACACACACACACACATATACATACATACTCCACACACACACACACACACACACACACACACACAAGCTACCCAAGTTCCCACTGTGGCAGTCACTCCAGGATCCCATTCCCTTCCAAGGTGACCTCAGATACTGCAAGAAGACCTAGGCACATCTTTCTCTAGAATATTAGCCAGGTTCCTTCCTTCCCTTGGGTGTGTCCCCCAATCTGTGAAGTCTGTGAATGCTCCATTAGGCCTGGATTCTCCTTCTGCAGTTCCGTAAACACTTCTGTATACCTGGGAGGGTGTCTCTTCTTGTTTGTCTTTCTGAGCCTCTCCTTCCTTGTCTACCTCACAAGTCTTCTAAGTCGAGGACTCTGAGCCCTACGGCAGCCCCTGACTGAGAACAGCACACTTGGAGCTCTTGGTGTCTCCAGGCCAGGCTGCCCAGCTCCTCTGCAGTCACTCACATTGGAGCCAAAGCTTACATAGGAGCCAGTGTGTTGTTCACCTGGCTCTCAGTGGACGCAAGACCTGCAATGTTGGCTTCCTGTGTTCACTTTGTCCCCTTCTCATCCCAGAGCCCTCAGAGATGTTTCTAAGGACTCTGGGGTATCACAGAGAAATATGCAGTCTAGTTCACCCCTCAGTTTCACACGGAGTGACTGACAGCCTCCTAACAGCCAACCTGAGACTCGCAGCTGCATTCCCAGTGCCGGCCATTCTGCTGGGAATTCTAAGCACAGTCTCCAAGGATGGGCTTCCTGCTCCTGCCCTCTGCCTCCCATCATGAATCTAAGAGCCAGGGGATGCTGGAATCAGGGGAAGCTGAAGACACCTTTGGAAACCAAATGAAGCATCTAAGGGAAGGTGTCTGAGTTAGTTCCCACCTGTGGCTCCGGGACCTGCTGCCTAGGGGTAGGGGCATGAGACACAGAGTGGGAGTGACCAGCAGCAAGCGCCTGACCAGAGAGCTGGGTAAGGAGAGACCTTCTGCAACTTGGGGTACCAAAGCTAGTGAGAAAGTAAAGCCCCTGCACTGGCCACCAGGAAGGTTTGTCTCTGGGGAGGCCACATGCAGCTGGGTGAGTGAGCTCAACAAGGGACAAGCCGGTGGCCCCAGCCCAGCATACCTTCCCCGGGCACATCACATCCGCAAGCCTGCACTTGCCTCTGCTCCTCCCCACGTACATACCGCCTAATCACACACAGAGAATTCACACAAACACACTTACGTAGCCCACACGCAGATACGGGCAGACACCCACATTCGCAGACTCCCGCATGCGTATAAAACACACATTTACATCCACCCACCCACACATGCTCTCGCTCTGATGCTGTCCACCCACAGGCACAGACCTGTCGGCTGAAGTCACACAAACAAAGCACACAGGGCCCAACTGAGAGCAGAGTAAGGGAACCAAAGTGGGGGGTGAGAAGGGAGTGGCTTCCAGGATAGGGCAGAGCAAGGAGCCGGCTGGAGGCAGCAGAAAGGGTATTTCAGGAGCCCTGGAGTCCCCTCTGTATCTCCTTCACTCTTGACCCATTGCCTAAGGTCCAGTCCTGCTCTGTAAGGAAGAGCTTTCTATCCATGGAGAGAGAGAGAGAGAGAGAGAGAGAGAGAGAGAGAGAGAGAGAGAGAGAGAGAGAGAGAGAGAGAGAGAGCAGAGCCCAGAAGAGAGTTCAATACAGTTCTACACTCTGACCCGACTTAGAATTATCTCGTAAACTTGGTCCAGCTCTAATCCTTCTGGAGTTTCTATCCGCTCACTTATGGGATGCCCCTCTCCCAAGACCTTTGGCAGTTAGAGAGACCTCTGACCCCCAGGCTGAAGGTGCAGCAGGGAGAGAGACTTGTTTTCTAAAAGAGCAGAGCACAGCAGAGGAGACTTAAGTCCCCAGTAAGGGTCAAGGTGGGAGGGGGGGAGCAGCGAGAGGCCTGGCAAATCACCTCCTTCTCAGCCTTGGCCTCCTCCACGGTCACAGTGCTGTGGTTCTTATGCTCCTGGAACATGCAGAGGTAGCAGATGCAGGTCTGGTCGGTCTGACAGAAGAGCTCCATGGTCTTGCCGTGCAGGGGGCACTTTCGGGCTTCGAAGTCCCGGATGGGCTCGAGCAGCTGGTGGTCACGGAATGCGGCACCCTCCAGGTGGGGCTTCAGATGCAGCTCACAGAAGGAAGCCTGGCACACCAGGCAGGACTTGACGGCCTTCTGCTTGTTGCCGATGCAGGAGTCACACAGCACCTCCTCGGATCCCGACTTAGACCTCAGCAGAAGGCTGGAGTCAGCCCTGGGATAGCTGTTCCTGCGGACTTCCCCTGGCTCCACGATGGTCACCGTGGGTTTGCGGGGCTCAGAGAATATGGACTTTCGCAGCTCCCCCTTCTCAGCAAAGGACACGGGCGGCTTCTTGGAAGCCCCCAGCTGGAGCCCCGCATAAGGAGACCTCCTGCCTTCCGCAGAGTCCATGCTGAAGTAGTTGGAGCCTTTGTCGTCCACCGACTCCACGAACTGGATGATAGGCCTGCGCCACTCATTGCTGGAAAACAAGGCACTCTTCCCCTCCCCTGACTTCAGGGCACTGCCCAGGGTTTTGCCCTCCGTCACCTCCCCACTGTGCCCGTTGGTTGTCTTGGTATCCTTGCTGTCTGCTTTAGTGCCGTTCTCCAGGCTGCCGTTGGTACCCGGTGGACTGCGGGCGTCCCTGGCTTCCGGGCTGGCCCCATTGCTCCTGGAGGCGTCGGCACCTTCCATGGCAGGTCACTTGCTGGCCTGTTGCTGCTGGTTGGGGTCTCTGTGGTAGGTGACTTCAGCGGGTGTCTCAGGCAGGGAGTGGGGCTGGCAACCAGAGCCCAGGGACACACCTGTGGGGAGGAGAAGGTGGAGCCGGAGGAGGAGCCATAGGAGGAGCAACCTAACACAACGGGCCCACAGAGACTGGCGGGGCACAGTGGCTAATTACCTGGGCCATGCCTGCACATTCACGCCCAGCCTGGGATTTTAAAGAAGTGTTTTTTCTCCCAGTTTTATTACTTCCCACCACTGACAACCAGTTAGGCTGCTTCCATCTGTTGCACTTCTAGGAGAGAGGCGGAGCCTCTGTTCTCATAGGTGGGCGGACTTTGAGGAGGCCAATGCCCCTGGGGGCAGAAGGTGAGGTGTCCACAGAGGTCCATGGGACAGAAGGCTCTTAATTGGGTCACACAAGCCAAATCGCCTTGTAATTTGCAGGCTGGAAACCAAAGGAAAGCCTCCACCCTGGGACAGCACATCCTAAGGGAAGCTGTGGGATGGGTCGTTAGGACTTGGACATGACTGATTCTTACCAACTTGCCCGATGTCTTAAGTACTTTACATGTCTGAGTTTATTTAAGCCTTCCTACAATCCACAGTCATGCTGTGTGTGTGTGTGTGTGTGTGTGTGTGTGTGCGCGCGCGCGCGCGCGCTCTTCCAACATCTTCCTCAATTGCCCATCACCTCATTCTTTGAGGCAGAGGCTCTCACTGAACCCAGACCTGGCCATTGGATCTGCCTGCTTCCTTCCTCACAATAGGACAACATCCAACTTTTACCTGGTACTAGGGCTTGAATCTGGGTCCTCCTGCCTGTAGGCAAACACTTCACCCTCTGAGCCAGCTTCCAGCCCTCAGCCATGCCTTCTGACAGAGAGGAAATATAGGCACTAAGAGGGACACACTGGCTTCAGGCCATCACAGGGAGTCTGGGGCTTTTGAGATTATCCAGTCTCCTCTTCTACCCCTGCTTCTTGGAGGCACCTCCATATCTCACTAGAACATAGCTTCTGGGGGTTTTCTTGTGCCCATGGCCCTGAGAGAGCTCCTCAGAGCAGGTCGGAAGCTGCTTGGGGCCCCTGGGCCAGCGATATGGCAATAAAAAGAATCTGAGCAGCCAGGTTATTGGTGGAGGGTCCTCAGAGCCCAAGCACTTCACACTTCCCCTTTTCTACAGGAGGTTTGCAGTGTGACTCAGAAAAACCTGCACACCTTCTCCAGACCAGGCCATATGCAATAACCTCCAAAATGAGGCAGTGCAGTGTGGGACTCAGAGAACTCCAGAGACGTGAGAACTGCCAACTCTCTTCTTCCCCCCCCCCATCCCTAGTCAAGCACCAGAGCCTTCAGTTCTTACAGGACACTGGAAACAGCTGCCCCAGAGTACAGGAAAGCCCCCCATTCCCCTTAGTGATGCATGGACTGGGTAGACTGTGGGTGTGGCCGGGATACAAGGTTCTGGGGTGTGTTCAGGGGAAGGGTCTTCTTTCCTTCCCCTCTAATGCAGGTTAAACCTTGGGAACCCCACCCCTTGACTCAAGAGGCTGACAGCTAATCCTTTGTTATCATAGCCCTGGGAACAGGGCAGACACACTTGGCTCACAAAGAAGCTAGAGTTAAGAAGAGGTGTGTCTGTGTGTCTGTGTGTCTGTGTGTCTGTGTCTGTGTTGGAGGTGGTAGTACTGGCTAGTTCCTGTCCTGGGGCCTCATGGAAACCCCTCTTACTTGAACTCACTGATGGTTTACCTAAGAAAAATCATAAGGATTTCTGGGTTGGGGGACCTACTGTCAAAAAGCCAGACCCGAGTCTATGTAAGGGCTCAGGGTTGTAATCTCGGCCCTTTGGGAGAGGCAGAAAGATTGCCACAAGTTTGAGTCTAGGCCAGTCTACATATCAAGTTCCAGCCCCCGACACAACAAAACAAAATGAAATTAAAAAGAGAAAAAATGGAGAGGCAAAGAGGAGTAAAAGGGGGGCAGGGAGGAAGGGAATGGGACAGGAGGGAAGGCCAGGCCAGTGTCTGCACTGCACTCCCGCCTAAGGTCTAGGAGAAGCAGACGGGGAGAAGGAAGAGGCTGAGGCTGTCCTGGGCTTCCTCACCCACTGAAAGTCTCCCGCATCCCAAGGGACCAGGTGAGGGGGAGGAGTTCCCTACAACTCAAGGGCTGCTTCTGGTCCTTAAAGTTCGTACGCCTGCCTCCCCGTCATCCAGGAAGTACTCCGAGCCTCAGAAATAAGCAGGTACACAGAAGCCCAAACCAAAGAGAAAAACAAACAAACAAACAAACAAAAACATGAAAACAGAAACAAAGCAAAAACAAAACAAAACAAAAAACCCTAAATCCACCATTCAAACAAAACATCTGTGGGTAAGTAGAAGACAAAAGCCATCAAAAGATGAGTAGGGATAGGTGGGTGGGTGGATGGATGGAAGGATGGATGGATTGCTAAGCAGATGAATAATTGGGAAAATAATTGGAAAAGGAGGAAAGAGGAGGGTAGGGGAGATGAAGGGAGACGGAGGGAGGGGAGAGGGAGGAGCAAATACAGACAGTTTGTAGGTGATTGAGTGACTTGCAAAGGTTTGCCAGTGGGGGCTTAGCACCTGATTGTTCCTGCAGGAGGAAGCCCTGCCCTGTGGAGCTCGTTGCTTCCTCCCACTCTGCTGCCTCTATCTTGAGCTGTCAATCTCCAGCTCATCCCTCAAGGTGCTGACGGCAGCACCTGGTGCTCTCCTGGGCCAGCAGGGGCCTGCTCCAACACATCCCAGGCCTTGCGCTGGTGCGTGGATGATGGAGGTACACAGATGGACTGGAGGAAGGTGGGTAGATGGCAACTCCTGGAGTCAGCCATTCTCTGTTGTCCTAAGGGAGGGAAGCAGGTTCAAGAGCGTGAATGGACGTGGGATGAAGAGATGCTGTTCTCTCTCAACTGAGGCCTCCAGCACCTGCTTCTCCTGCAGGAGCCGTCTAGGTGGATGTACCTAAGTTGGTTAGTTTCCCCACCTACTCTTGGGCCATGTACCTGGCATTGAGCAGGGACCCTTCCCAGGGATTCCTTCAGACAAGAATGAGTTCTTGATCTACACTGGGGAGCATGTAGTGTCATAGGAGAAGAATAAGTAATCCATTTAAATTTGAGGTGAACGGCTCATAAGAGAACAAGTACAAGGGGGCTAGGGATGCCCAGAGTAAGGAGAGCCCAGGCTATCCCGAAAATGACCTCTTGCCCACTAGGTCGAGCAGGTTCTGGGTCCTGCTCAAAGCTTGCTCCCTGCCCACCAGGCAATCTTCAGCAGTTTCCCTAGCAGACGTCAGCAGAGCTGAACTAAGGAGAAGCTGGAGCTGTAACTCAGTAGGGTGGGTGCTTCCCTAGCACGCATGACGCCCAGGCTTTGGTCCTCAGCATCAACTGGGCATGTTTACCTGCTATCCCAGCACTCAGGAGGTGGGAGAGGAAGGGTCAGAAGTTCAAGGTCTTTCTCAGCTACTTGGGGAGTTCAAGGCTAGCCAGGGCTATGTGAAGCTCCAGCACTGAGGTGAAGAAGGGGCTCCCAGGCTTCTCACTCTGGTTCTAGGTTTGTACCCACCCGAGGGCTTGCCCACACCCAAACACCTATCTTCCTCCTGCAGCCTAGAATAAGTCATTCCTTGGTGTGAGCCAATGTGTCACACACAAGCTGCGAAAGGTTCCCAAAGGACCAAAGCAAATGAACTTTGGTGTTTCAAAATGTCTTGAAAGAAAGGAAAGGGACCACTGGGGCGGGTGGTAGGAGGGGAGTGTGTGAGAGGGGGTTGCTCCTCAGTTGTGCATAGCCTATCTTATCTCGTCCTCCTTCTGGTCTAGCTCAAAGCCTGTAGTAGAGTAGAAGCCAGGGCTAATCCCCTCATCGTAGGTCCACAGACTCCTCATGGAGCAGGGGCAATTCCTGTCTTCCCCTTGGCTGCCTGAGGACAAAAGCCAGTCCGCCCTGTCTGCCAGCCCCCACAGAGCTGCCTACTACCACGCCCACCTGCAGCTGACCCCGGACTCCTCCCAGAGTCCTTTCAATCGGAAGCTTGAAGTGGTCTCCCTCCTGCAAGCCTTGATTCAGTGGGTGGAGTAGTCTCCTCCACCCGCTTTTGGTGACCTGACTACACCTGACTCGGCCACTAATCCTTCCGTCATGAAAGAAGGAAACCCCTTAAAAGGAATTTCTCTTCTCCCTTTCTGGGAACCCAGGATGGGAGGGGAGTGGCCGCTGGGCCCAATCTCTTGCCTCTGGACAAGACTGCCTAGGAAGTCTTTGATATATGCATCTCTTGAAGGATGGTAGAGCCTTAGAAACAGGGGAGGAAAACACTTTGCAACCTTCCCAGCCGCTCTTTCCGAGCTCTGGGGCTACCTTTCTTCAGGCAGTTCTTCTCTGAGTCTAGCTTCAATACACTAGAGGGACAGTGTACTTAATATGCAGGTGGAGTTGGGGAACCCAAGTTCTGGTCCTCCTGACGGTGAGCTAAGTAGCTGTCAAGGCTGTGAGAGAAGGGTCTGGGTCAGTCTTAATGCGTCTGTGCGGTCGCTGCTTCCTTTTGTCCTGTTTCATCTTCATTTATGTTTTATTTTATTATTTTATTTTATTTTGGTTTTGAGACACGGTGGTCTCAGTCTGTAGCCCAGGCTATCCAAGAACTCAGGGTCCTCCCACTTTAGCATCCTGCGTGCTGGAATCCCAGGTGTGCGTCACCAGACCCAGAAATCAGCTGACTTCGAATAAAGCATACCCTAGATGATGTAACATGTCTCCTCTAACGAGTCGAAAGGCCGGAGGTGTTAAAGACAGGAGCTTCCCAAGAAGATGCTGCGGTCCAGCCCACGGCTGCGGTCCAGCCCAAGGCTGAGGCACAGCTCTAGCCTTATCACCCTGCCTTCCAGGTGTCCACAGTGCCAGGCCCCACAGCCACTGGGCAACTGGTGCGGATGA